AGTTTAGAATTAGTTTATGTACTCTTATTAAAGAGCTTAAGCCTATGTAAGCTTTTTATAAACATATTTAAATATATTTTAGATTTTATTAATAAGTTTATTTATGTTTATTACTTATATAAATTAATAAGTTAGTTAGAGGGTATTTATAAGTAGTTTAAATCTTATTTAGAGGTAGTATCTATAATTTGCTAAAAACAGGGATACTTATGTTAATTTAAATGTTGTGTTATTAGCTTTAAACTATGCTATAGCTAACTATTTTACTTAGTTATCTTACTAGTAGTTTGTGTACGCTTATAGGACTTATTTTATTATAGTGTTTATGTTCTTAGTCTAGCTGTTAGTCTTTAGGTGAAAAGCTGTAGATAGATAGAGGATAATTTAGAGCTGTTTATAGAGTTTGTTCTAGAAGGCTAAGACAAACTACGTACCTCTATCTAATATAATTATGTTAGGCAGGCTATAGTAAACTTATATGTATTAGTAGAATAACTAGGCTATATTAGAGGCAGTTATAGAGGAATATAGTATTAGGTGTTAATACTTAGTTAAGTAATTAATAACTACTATAATATTTATGTACCTTTTAGATAAGAGTAGGTCTATAATAAAATTAATTAATATATTTTTCTAAGCTTGTTTAGAGATTAGAAGTAGTTTAAGTAGGCTATTATACTTTTCTTAAGAGGCCTTTACTTTATAGTAAGTATAGCAACATAATACATATTAGCGTACAGTATAGAACATGCGGGGCTAGTAGTACTCTCTCTGTAGTAGGTTAAGAGTCTTTCCTCTGCCTAAGTGTCCTTTAACAGGCAAGTTGTGTATAATTTAAAGTAGTTTAATTTTTAGTTTGTTAGAATTAAAAATTATAAGTTAGTTATAGTAATATAGCTTACTATTTTAGTTTTTATAGTTAGCTAGTGTTACCTTCTTTAACTAACTAGTGCTGTTTTAGAGTAGGTTTAAAGTTTTTTAGATAAATTTATTATTTAGATACTTATTAGTAATAATTTAATTAATTATCTAATTTATTTTATTTAGGTTAAGGTCTAAAAATAGCTTAAGTTAGAGTAGAGTTTAGTGTTAAGCCTTTTATACTTCTTTTTAAGTAAGGACGTTTTAGGATTGCTTTATAAAGGCATCTAGTTTCTCTCTATCTTAACTAGAATAATAAGTAATTTTAAAATTAAAATAAAATAGGTATTTAGACTAATAGGCTTATTAGTAGCTAAGTTATTTTATAGTTGTAAAGTACTGTAAGTTCTTATAGTTAAATAAAACCTGTATTAAATGCGCTGCACTTTCTAGTTTAGGTTGCTATTATTTAAAGTAGTGTACTATAGTAAGTAATTCTTTGTTGTAGATCTTATAATTACCTTCTGCAAGACTTATTCTTTTTAAGAAGTATGTAATAGGCCTAATAGTCCTGTCTAGCTTAGTCTAGAAAAGAACTTCTGCTACTATGTAGTCTAAGGCATTAGCTTCTACAAGTATTAGTAGTTTAAAGTTAAAGTAGTAGAGTATTAAGGCTTTAGTAAAGGCTTTTTTTAGCTAGTTAAAGAACTATTAGTAATTTAAGTTAAAGTTAAATTAAACTTTTTTTTTAGTAAGTATAATTATAAGGCTTACTAGCTATAAAAAGTTATTAATAAATTATTAGTAAAAGTTAGTAAATTTTATAAAAGCTTAAACATCTTTTATGTTTTTTAGGTATTACTAATCTAGTATAGTCTAAACTTTAATAAAGTTTATTTAAATACTATTTATAAAGATTACATATCTTAAATATATAACCTTTAATTAGTAGAACTTGCATTTATCTATGTTAAGTTGCAGACCTGCTTTTTTTATAGCCTTTAGCACTAGGCGTACATGCTGTTTATACTCTAAAAGGCTATTACTGTAGATTAGAATATTATTAATATACATAGTGCAGAACATGTTTAGGTAGGGTTAGAGTAAGTTATTTACAAAATGTTAAAAAGTACTAGGCGTGTTAGCTAAGCTAAAGGGCATTACTAGGTACTTAAATAGTTTATATTAAGTCTAAAATGCTATTAGCTACTTATTACTCTTTACTATCTTTAGCTTATTAAAGGTAGTAATAATATCTAACTTTATAAAATACTTTACTTTACTTAGTTAGCTTAGAGTTTTTTGTAAAAGAGGAATTAAGTATTAGTTTTTAATAGTAACAGTGTTTAGTTTTTAGTAGTTAATGTAGAATTAAAGCCTACCTCTAAGTTTCTTTATAAATAGTATAAGTAATGCTACTAGTAAGAAGCTAGCTTAAATAAACTCTTTTTTTAGGTTCTTGTTAAGGTATTTTTAGAGCACTTTTAATTTATTTAGTAACATCTTATATAGTAGCCTATAACTAGGTTGTTTACTAGGCTTAAAAGTTATCTAGTAATTATATAGACATTATATTAAAAGCTTATTAAACTTATTTTAGAAGAAAACATGTAACAAGTTATAGTAGTTTTAAGAGACTATTATTTTTAAGTTAGTGTGTTTTTAGAGAGCTAAAGCTTAGTTTATATTAGAAATTATAACTATGTAAATTTTATAATCTAGTTATTAAGCTAGAGTTATAAATAAGGCAGGTTCTATGTAGCAGATGTTTATTTACTGTTTAAGTCCTAGTTTGTGTTTAAATTAGGTAGGTAAAAGTTTTTTAAAAGCTTCTTTTTTTTTAAGTTTAAGTAGTTATTAAATTATTTTATATAGCCTATTTTAGTAAAAGGCCTAGCTTATTAGCCTTACTTAGGTAGTTTTTCTCTAGGTTATTAAAAAATAGGTCTAAAAACCTTCTATATTAAGTGCTATTTAGGTGTTGTTTAGGTGTAAGTGTAAGCATATATTTTAGCATTAAAAAAAGTTAAAGTTTAGAACTTATTTTTAGTAATTAAAGGCAACTTTATGCTAATATAGCTATAGTTGTCTTAGGATTAGGTTATAACATTCTATGTTTATTACATAGAGTTTAATCTGCTTCTTATAGTGTTAGTAGGTAATTATAATAGTTGTAGTACAAAAGATAAAACTTTTTTTAAGTTGTTTTTTATTAAATCTAGTTAAGTAAATTATTTAGGTAAGTAGTATTAATTAAAGATTTAGTTTATGCGCTAGTTTTTTATTAATGTAACTTATGCTATTTACTTTTAAGTTAATAAAAGCTTATATTAAGGCTAATATAGTTCTTTATTATAAATATATAAGAATATTAACTTAGTACTTTTAGTTGTTAGTAGGGGACTTAGCTTATAAGTTAGCAGAGATCTAGTGTTAAATTAGTTCTAAGGGGTAACTTAGCCCTAGAATAAGCCTTTTTATAGGCTCCTACTGCTATAGCTGCAGCTATGTTAAGAGTAGTAAAGAGAATTAAAGCTTAAATATAAGTTAAAGCCCTTATAGAAATAAAATTAAAATAGTAAAAATTTTTAATAAGTACTAGTAGCGCTACTTATGTAGACTTAAGAAAAAGAAATAAAGCAGTTTTAAAAAATATAACTATGCTTACTGTACTTAAAACATTAACTTTTTTTTTTATAATTTTTACGCTTTTTAGAACTAACTAAAGCATAATTTAAATTAATTTTTATTATGTTAAGGTCCTTATTTGCAACTACGCTAGTTTAGAGGCGTATTAGGGCTTGTATAGGGAGGAACCTTATGTTATTATTGTAGGTAGCAATTAGGTTTGCATACATGTTAAAGTTGTTTAGAAGGGGTTCTTCTACTATAGCGCGTTGCAGTTTAGTTAAGAGGGAGTTATGTAGGGCTGTAATTAGACCTATCTTATTTAGGCCTGTATTAGATGTAAGTTAGTAGAACTTAGTAAAGTGTAAAGTAAAGCTTTTTTTTTTTTATTATAAAGTGTTTAGGTAACTTAGGGCTGTTAACTTTTTATTTAAGTCTTTATAAGTTACTTACAGAAATGCTATAAATTAATCTAAGTTAATAATATCTTTATTTATTAGTAAGTTAATTAAGGCTGTTATATTATAGTTAAGTTAAAAGTAGGCATATAGTAACTAAAAGCATTTAGAGGGGAATTAGTTTATATTTCCTTTAAGTTTATATTAGAGCTTATGTAGAAAAGAAGGTAGGTCTTTCTATTTTCTATTAAACAGTAGGAGATTAGGGAGTTAGTTAGATTTTATTACTAAGTTAGAGAGGTTATAGGTTGTAGGCAGTGTTAGGCAGAAGGAAGTTAAGCTATCTCTAGACTTCTAAGTAAGCTTTAAGGCTAGTAAGTTTTTAGTTTCTACTACTATAACAAAAGTTAAAGCAGAAATAGACTACTTAATAACATAAAGCTATTCTTTAAAGTTCTTTTAAAAAGCTTTAAAGCTTACAACATAGTAGCTTTTCTATAAAGTAAGTGCTTTTTAAAAGGCTTTTTAGCTTACTCTAATAGCTTAGAGTTGTGTAAGTACTAAGCTTATTAGATTAGATTTAGAGGCTATTCTTAGCTAGAGTTTTAACACAACATAATGTTATAATTATGCACAAGTAAGGTTATAGAGCTTTACAAAAGTCTAGTTTAATTACTATGTAAAGTATTATAGTAGGTATAAGACGTTGTGTAAGGAATAGAAAAGTTTAGAAGGAAATTAGCAATTAAATACTTAGCTTAAAAGTCTAAGCGCTTTAGGTATAAATTAAGCCTGTTCTAGGTTTAGTTAGTGTTAAAGTAGTTTGTGCTTAAGTTTATGTCTATATTGTGTTGTGTTTGTGTCAGACGTGCACTAATAATACTCTAGTACGCGTCTAATACAGTTATGTCTGGGATCCGGGGAGGATACCGTGACACTTTAAGGTTTGTAATCTACTGTCTAAGTAGTTAATCTAGGGAACAGCATGTACACTGCAGATGCAGGCTGACTGTTAACTAGATAAAGACAATAATCTGTTAGAGGCTTAATTACTCTCTTTTATAATTATGTCTGTTACTCTTGTACTTGTCAGCCTTAATCTTGTAGTATTTAATGGCTTCTTTAAAGGCTCTGACACCGCTTGTCAATAGCTTGTTTAGGTGCGTAGGCGTTTCGACGTTGGAGGCTGGTGAAAACTCAGCTATTAGCGGCATCTCTAGAGCTCTTGGTTTGGAGATCATTTGGATGGTCAACTTAGGATCCACTTGCGGCCAGATGCCGTGCGCTACACATCTCGATTGCAGCTGCATCATCCAGGCTCTGTAGTCGGTGTGGTCTCGAAGGACGACTGTCGCGTCTCGAGGAGGCTGGGTGGCCATTTTGTATCGATGGAGGCACTGAGACTCTTAATTGTCAGATTAAAGCACTGTTTCTAGGCTTCCTAAGATGAATAATGGGTTTAGATATGATGTATGGGATGATTAATTAATTGTATTAATTGTGTTGATTTATTAATCCTTTTTCTGCTCTACTCGTGTTGCTCGGCTTTTTGTTCTGCCGATCCGAGTCCCTCGCGCACTAGCCCTATGCGCGACCAGCTTGCAACATGCTGCAATTTGCTGCAACATACTGTTCGAGCTTATTGCTCGTACTATGTAGCAGCTTTCGTCAAACGTTCCTCCTGTCTTGACAGTAGGTGCGCATATCTGACAACTATAGGTATCTTCTTTGCACAGACATTAAAAAAGGATACTACAGTTAAAAAAAGTTTATAGTTTAGATAAAAAAGTGTTTAATTTTTACACTTTAGGTAATATATAGTAGAAAACTTATAGTAATAATTCTTAATAATATGTTAATTTATATAAATTATAAAATTACTAAAAATTTTAATTAAGTTAGCTATATTATGTGCTACTTACTACTCTACTTACTTAATTATAACCTAATAGAACTTACTTTTGCTGTTTTAAAGACTTAAATTAAAAGAAATTATATGTATATATAGTCTTAAGATTCTACTAGTAGATTTAGTAATTTTTTAAGAGCAGCGTTGCGCAAAAGCAGGTGTAATAGGTTTATAATAAAGTACTTTAAACACACTACTAGAGGCCTTTATATTAAGTAAAAAGTGCTTAATTAGGCACGTTACAACCTATGTAATAAAGTAGAGTTTAATTTAAATAATCTAGATAATAAGTAGTAAAAGAGCTATTATAGATCTTTATAGCAGCTAAATATACATATAATTAAGTATTTTCCGGGCCATCCGAGATGGAACGATTCATGAGGATCGTTACAAAGATAAGCCTTTTATATAAGCAACTATAGCCTTAACTTACCTAAAGTTAATTATAAGTGTAAGTGCAGATACTAACATGTTATAGTTAAATTTACAAAAGTTATAGATTTAGGCAGGAAAACTAAGTAGTAAGGGAATTACGTAATGCGCGCTAAGAGAAAACGCTGATTTATTGTCCTAACAAATCTAGGAGGGAGCTTAGACTATAATTCCCCCTCTAATAAGCTCACTGCTATCTATAAACAATGTATGTTAGAAAGTTAAGAATTCAACGTGCTCTACTTGTGCAGGGATAAATTCAAAACCACAGGGCTCCTGGGAAAGAGGTCACAGGAAGACAAGACAAGCTTCCTAGGGCCATGCTCATGTAGTCACTATCACCAACCATCATTCGGTATATTAGACTCACAGGAAATATTCCCGCGCAGCCAGCCTCGCAGTCTTACTGCACAAGCTTTAGCTAACCACTTTCTCGTATTTTTCCTTATATTGGGAAAGGCCTTTTGGTACTCGGATCTCCACAAATTCTCCACCTCATCTAAGCCCGAAGGTTATGCCGAAGAATTGAGGAATTCACCCTATAGACTCTTCGATACGTACAAATATACATACTCCTAACACCTAATGATGTCACTAAATACAATTTGGCCCAATGGAGATGAGCGAGATGAGTCACACGACCATAGAGTCTATAATGGACATCCATCCATCCATTCACACTGTGAAATCAAACCAACTTGATTAACAATACCAATTTGTGGGCATCGCTCTCAGAATGCCTCAGTCATACACCTACACTGCATCCCAAACCTTCAACACGCAAACCACCAACTCCAAGGCCCACGCCATCGCTTTTATCACTCTAACTAAAGGAAGGACCGAACGCGTAAAATCCCCACGAGTGTGAAGCACATTTACGCAGGCTAACAATCCTAGTCTTGTTCCAAAGCTAGGATCACTCGTCCGACAACTATGCACTACGCCTACGCTGACGAACCCGGAACACTAGAATACCGTTTGCTCGGGAAAAACAAACCCTCTGTCGATTCCTACTCCACTAACGAGCCTAATTTTGTGATGGTAGAGCGATATGCTTTAATCACCCCCTCCCTTCTCTATTTCCTTGTTCTCTCCTCTGATTGCCCCCCAGCTCCCCTCTTCCCCGTTTATGCCAGGAAGACCATAGCTCCTCGTCAAGCCCGCACTAATCCCCTTCCCAGCTACAAAACCGCGTCCGCATCCTACTTCCACCGAAGCTTGTCCCTTTTTCTCGGACAGGGAAGACTTTCGCTGAGGAGATTCTCGCAAAGCCAATATTTATGTTCGATGGGAGATTGGTGGATGGGTTAAATGGACGTAATTAGATGGCTGAGGGAACTTATGAGCTATTGGGAGTTGGTCGAGTAGCTGACAGGCTAGAAAGGAGTAGGAGGTTGAGCGGTGAGAGGGAGGGCTGACAAGGAGGGCGATATGGCCAGAAATAGTATGGCGAAGTGGATGAATGGGTGGCTGATGGGAACAAGGCTGGATGCATTGGATCTGTTCATTTTGGTTGGATTAGCATTGGAAAGCGGACTTAGTATGGACAGTTCGAGATATCTACCAGTTAACCATCCATATAAACCCTAAGCACTCTATTCAATTAACAAGCGTCCACCAACGCCCATGCATGCAGAGCAGATCTTATAGCGATCTTTTCGTGACTCCATATCCACTACGCCACAGCCATAGCGCGGAGCCACATTACTGCGTAGCACACTGGGGCCCGCCTTCTTCATCGTCGTCATCATCTTCCCACTCGGCGCCTGCGCGAGGATCGCCGCTGCCAGCGCCAAAGTCATCTATATTGGCATCGAACTCGAATTCCACTTCATCGGTTTCCTCGGGGCGGTGGGGGTCTGGTGTTGAAGGGGGAGGTAAGGCGTCTCGGAGCTTCTGAGCCACGACGTCACTCTTGATCCAACCGTCCTCAGGAAATTCGATCTCGACGAGGAGGTAGAGATCGCCTTTTGCGTCGGATTTTTTCATTGGCATGCCTTCGCCAGGGACTTTGAGCACGTCGCCTGGCCGCAGAATTTTGCCTTCGGGCTGCTTGACGTGGAGGTGGATTCCTCGTCCGTCTAAGTGCGTTAACACCACTCTGTTGAACCCAGTCAAAGCCTCCACGAGGCTGATATTCAGGTCTGCTTTCAAGTCGGCGCCTGCTCGATCGAAGACATCGTGGGGCGTCTCAACAAGCCCGAAGATTATGTCGCCGGGCTCCTGGTCTGGTAGTTGATCTGCTTCGCCAGGGAGCACGATGCGATCGCCTTGGCGTGCACCGCGGGGGATATAGAGTTCTAGGACGTTCTTGGCCTCCGTAACTTTCTTTCCTTTGCACTTTTTGCAACGCTCCTTGTCTTTGAAGAGGGAGCCGGAGCCAGAACATGTGCTGCAGACGACTGTTTCTTGGGTGACGAGGCCGGGGCCGACCTGCCGGAGGACCGTTTTTGCGCCTGGGGAATGTCAGAAATAGGCATTTATTTCGTAGGGGACAGAGGGAATATACCTCTTCCGTGGCAAACACTACAATCATGTGGTTTCGTGCCTTGTTTCCCACCACTCCCCTTGCACGTCTGACAAACAACATTCTTTGTACTCGAGAACTTGGTCGTCTTCCCTTTGTACAGTTCTTCCAACGTCACCTCGTACTCTTGCTCAACGTTCCGCCCCTTCCTGGGCACGTTTCTTGCTCCTGGGCCTCCAGGCCCGCCAGGCATTCCGCCCATGCCAGGCACACCGCCAAAATTCATACCGCCGAACATCTGAGCGAAGATATCGTCGATGTCAGGCTCACCACCCATTCCACCACCTCTGCTGGGGTCGAAGGCAGACATGCCATGCGTGTCGTACAGGTGGCGTTTGTCGTCATCGTAGAGGATTTCGTAGGCTTGCTTTGCGGCTTTGAAGCGGACTTCGGCTTCGACGCGCTCGCCTTCTGCTACTTTGTCGGGGTGGTGTGAGAGTGCCGCCTAGAGGAATGGTATCAGCACGGTGTTAAAAGGTGTTTGGATCTGCCGTTGGAGGAGGGACACCTTGTGATACGCCTTCTTGATCTCTGCTTTGCTGGCGCCGCTAGTGATGCCAAGGACCTCTGGCTCAATTAGAGAGAGAGCAGCGTAGTTGCAAGGACATCACACGCACCGTAGAGGTCAATCTCGTCGATATCGTTCACTTGAAGTCTACGTCAGCAAAGCTCTCAACAAGAAGCGGGGCTTACTCGCTCGTGCCTCCTTCAAAACAAGGGTCGTGTCGAAGCGGCTTGTATCGACACTCTGTTCAGAAATATCAACACGAAGGCAGAGATTCGTCAGCGACCAAAGAAGCAGGCCGTCGAGGCTGATTAGGTGGTCGAGGCAACAAACCTTCAAGTCTGGCGGCAATCACGAATTCGGAAAGCTCGGACCGACGGATTTTCCGAGCGGGCGGTGAAGGGCAGAAAAGTAGCATTCCGAGCCCCACCTGTCCCACCCTGCGATCAACAAGTCTCTTTTTCTCTTCATTGTTGTAATATGTCGTTTCCGCTCCCTCTCAGAGGTCAATTGAGACCCTACACGTGTAGATCGTGTCTTATCCGCCTGTCTAAGGGCTCAGGTCGCTCCTTCTCATCCAACAAACTCCCGCGTAGGCACATCACGCCAGACACGCCGGCACGAACCCGTTTCGCGCCGTCGCCAACAGGATACCTCCACCTCGGCTCCCTCCGCACTGCTCTCTTCAACTACCTCCTTGCAAAACACACCGGCGGCCAATTCTTGCTCCGAATCGAAGACACCGACCAGAAGCGTACTGTACCCGATGCTGAAGAGCGGCTGCTCAGAGACCTACGATGGGCCGGTTTGCAATGGGATGAAGGGCCCGAAGTCGGGGGTCCTTACGGCCCGTACAAGCAATCTGAAAGAAGCCAGTTATACAAAGATCACGCGCAGAAGCTACTCGATTTAGGCCACGGCTACCGCTGTTTCTGCACGCCAGAGCGCCTTCATCAGCTCGCCGAGTCACGACATGCCTTGGGACTCGCCACTGACTACGACCGCGCCTGTGCCGGTATCTCGCGAGAAGAGTCTGATGGCCGTGCTAGCCGCGGCGAGAAGCACGTTGTCCGGCTCCGCGTACCAGACGAATACTTGGAATACGACGACCTCGTCTATGGTACCTTCAAACCGCTCAAACAAGGCCCCCGCGCCGACCAAGCCTTCGAAGATCCCATCCTCTTGAAATCCGACGGTTTGCCAACCTACCATCTCGCCAACGTCGTCGACGACCACCACATGCATATCACCCACGTCATCCGGGGCTCGGAATGGATGCCGTCGACGCCGAAGCACATCGCCATGTATGCAGCATTTGGGTGGGAGCCGCCGGCATTCGCGCACGTGGGGTTGCTTGTCGATGAGCAGGGAAATAAACTCAGCAAGCGGAATTTCGACACCGACATCTCTGCCTTCAAGGAAATGGAGATTTTCCCAGAAGCCCTGACAAACTTCGCCGCGCTGCTTGGTTGGAGCCACAAAGCACACAGCGATGTCATGGACTTGCAAAATCTCGTCGAAACATTTATGCTCAAGTTCACCAAGGGGAACACCACCGTCACGTTCGGTAAACTGTATTTCCTACAGCGCAAACACGCTGCCCTCCGCGCTGAGGCCGCTGGCTCGGGCCTTGAGGAAATGGTCCAGGCTACTGTTCGCCTACTCCAAGCTCTGAATTCCCCGTACCAAGAATGGGAGCCTCTCCTCGCTAAGAGGAAGATAGGGGTGGAAGACTACATCCGCCAAATCATCCAATCCGACGCCTCCAACTATACTAACGCCAACGAATTCCTACGCCGCAATGCCTTCATGTTCAAACCCCTCCGCAACCCATCTTCTTTCACCGAGAGAGAGGGAATTCCTTCGGAATCAAAGCGTCTATCAGAAATACCCGAACCAGATTGGAATAAGAAAGCGATTAAGGAGAAAGTATGGCAGATTATTGAGGCTGGAGATGATAGCAGAAACCAACCGAAACAGGTGTTTTATTATTTGAGGACGGCGTTGACGGGCACGGAGGAGGGGATGCGGATCTATGATGTTATGGTGATTTTAGGGAGGAGGGAGTGTTTGAGGAGGCTAGGTGCTGAAGTAGGGGGGGAGCGTAGGTAGGGAGGGGAGGATTGGAGTGTTGGGTGGTGTGGTTGCAGGATAAGTGTATGGAGAAAGGGACAGGGACTTTTTTTAGAGGAGTTGTAGGAATATTGTTACATGCCAGATGCGGAATCGTGATGTAGCGAGAACTTGTAATAGGTCCCGCCAGCCATTGTATTATATCTATATATGATATGCGTCATGACCTGACCTAGCCTCCACAGTTCGGTCCTAAAATCACGGGCTCGATTCATGAGACGTGCCTGTCTTCACGTCTAGCAGGTGTTGCACCAGCTATGCCATCTAAACCCTGTTCGCCCTCCTCTCCTTCATCCCGCCTCGAATTCCAAGAGGGCCTACGCCTTGCCATGCATGTGAGTGAACTCTCTCCGCATCCACCCTCAGCTCTTCATCTCAACCTCCTGCTCCGCACCATTCAAACAAAACACCTTCTCCTTAACCTTCGCAGCTAGCAAACCCATTTCCTCCTCTCTACAGATCTTCTCGCTGGCCGCTCCCAACTTCGCCAACTGCCCCCTTTCCCTCCCCTCCATGCCAATACTTCCCCCAAACCCGCCTCCCCCCTTATAACCCTTTAAGCTTCGCTCCTCCTGCTTCATCTTGCGGGCTAGGTCTTGAATTTGCTTCGTACCATATTCGCGATTCGAAAACAGGGGCGAGGCGGACAGCGTACCGACCCAGTACTTGTTCCACAGAGCTTCGAGTATCTTTGTGTCAAGCGAGGATTTGTAGTGAGACACTTCAAGGGCGTAGTAGTGGTTTGCATGGGCGCCGAAGTCTTCAATCTTGCCGAGCGGGATCGTTTGGAAGCCATCCTCTCCCACCCCGCCACCACCTGCTTTAGAGCTCGCCGCCTTTTCCTTGTCCTTGACGTATTCTTCGGGAAATGTACGGAATGCACCGATCTCCACTTTGCCAGCGGAGACAGTGCGATCCGGGTCGATGACGACGGCAACAAACGGGTCTTGGTACATCTGCTGCGTTTTCTGGGTTGAGACGTCGATGCCGGATAACCAGCACCCATACCCAGGGTGTGAATGATACCAGCCAACGGCATTCTCGAGCTGTCCAGCCTCCCGTGCCCGCGACAGGAATTCCACCATGTACTCATTAGCCTCGTCTTGGGCGTTCACGCGCGTTTCGGTGCCTTCGACGGGGAGGCGGAACGAATCCGTCACGATGAACGTGTTGGCCTCGATTTTTCCAAGCATGAGGCCCATGACCTCGAGTGAGCCGCCTGAGCGTGCGTGCATGACCATTTTCAGTAATGCGACGGCGGAGACGCGCACACTGGTGAAGTGGTGAGGGTCACTACGCCATGGCCGGGCTTCGTTGATGGCTTTCTGGGAGGTGGTCGAGTAGGAGTAAAGAGCGTCCTTTGTAGGATCGACGAGCTTGATGGAGTTTTCGAGCTCTACGGAGGTTTAGTGGAGGGGATAGGGAGGGGAGAGTAAAAGGGAGGGGGAGCTTACCCCAAGCTTTCATTGCCGTCTCCATGGTCGGAGAGGTTGCGGGAGGTACCAATTGTTAGGGGTGTTTGTGGTTGCAGGTGAGGTGGGAGGAGCTTGAGGCGGGGCAAGAAATATGCTACGCAGTAAGCTCCCCGGCCAGGCTGCAATGAAGGCACTACCTGCAGGCAGCGCTACGAATTCACGGATAAGAGGGCCCATCCAAATTAGAGATTCCTATCCCATGCTAGCGAAAGTTCGCTGCAGAGAGTAGAAGGGATGTGAAATTGTACATACTACATGTCATCATATAACATAAAGCATGACTACAGTTCGGTTTATCTGTTAAACTTCTTGCTGGAATTGCGGAGCATGTCAACAGGATGCAGATTTCTGTCACTTCCCACGTCAGGTGTGAGGATGCAGCAGATTCAAAGCCAGCCTCGGTCCCCGCAAGACTGACCATCATCTCGGTCCATCCTGATAATACCCCTTCGAGATATTCTCATCATTCATCTTCTGCGCCTCCTGCTCCATCTTTTCCACCCACCTCCTCGTCAACTCCTCATTATCCATCCTCAGTTTATCTCGCTCCTGCTCCATCATATGTAGCTGTAGATTAATCGCCACCATCTCATCCTGCACACCCTCGACCAGCCTGCCTTTGCCCTTCAGCTCCTCGGCCCGGTCCTTGACCTTGCGATCTAGCTGCTCCCTCGTTTTCTCCAGCTGGCTGATGCGCCGTTTCTGTGCGGCGTCTGACGCCTTGAAAGCGTCGAGCTCGGCGGATATGGTGGAGAGCTTTGTTTCGAGCGCGGCTCGTATCCGCTGGGTTGAGGCTAATTCTGCGCGCAGTTGGGCAGTGCTGCTCGGCGATGTCACGTCCTGTGGTGCTGGAGAGCCTTTGTCCTTTGGCGTGCCCGGCCGTAGTGACTTAGTGGAGGTGCTCAGAGATGGAGCTGGAGGGGGAGCTAGGGCTTCTGCACGAGATCCTGCGGTTCGGTCGGCGAGCTTAGTGTCTGCATATCATTAATTTACAGCCTTTTCCGGTGTCTTCGGGGATGAGCTGGAAGGCATACATGCATTGATGTAGGCAGCATGCGCCTGCTCCCGCGCGTCACGTGCTTCCAACGCGGACAGATACTCGGCGAGTGGACTGTTCATGGCGGTATTTCAAGCGACGCAAATATCAAGGTGGAAATGGCCGAATCTCTGGGTATCATGTTGGGAATTATGTGCGAACGAGGCAAGAGGGAGAAGCCTAGGGGTGAATAGCGTGGGCAGGGCTGCCTCACGGAGGCTACTCAAGGGGCTGCCCGCGCCGAACAGAGTCCGTGCGGAAACCTTCAAAAGTCTGTCTCCAATAATTACTACTTTTCGCAATCTGTTAATTGCAGCTGTGGGCGTTCATCCGGTCGCTGGGCGCTTTCGGATAGCCAGCCATGCCCCCCTTCCACTTCTCCAGTACCTCCCGCGCCCTATTCCGTGTCTTTGTTGCGCCGAACCTCGCTGCCAGCTGTCGCACAGCTGTTTCTCCCACCCACAGCTTCTTTCCAGCACCCCACGCAGCACTCGCACTCCCCGGCTTACCACTCACCCCCATCCGCACGAAAGTCTTCAAAAAGGACACGCAGCGCCACGCCCTCTCCGATGCCTACACCCTCGACACCGCCATCAATAGCCCGACCATCAATCTCGTCGACCTCCGCGGCCAGTTCCACCGCCGCACCGCCTTAACTTCCGCTCTGGCATCACTCGACCGCAACCTCTACCACATCCTCCAAGTCTCCCCGGGCAAAGTCGACGCATGGGGCACGCCCGACCCGGAAAACCCGCCAACATGTAAAGTTATTTCCAAGATGGACCTACGGCAACAGCACAAAACGAAGCTGGACATCGGTCGGAAGCAGAAGCGCGGGGGAGGCGCAGGTCCCAGTATGAAGAACTTAGAGCTGAATTGGGCGATTGATGCGAACGACCTGCGACATCGGCTTGAGAAAATGAAGGGGTTCTTAAGGGAGGGCCGGAAGGTGGAGGTTTTATTGGGCCCGAAGAGGAGGGGGCGGGTTGCGACGGCGGTAGAGTGCAGGAGTGTGTTGGAGAAGGTGAGGGAGGCGGTCGAGGAGTCTAAGGGGGCAGTCGAGACAAAGGATCCGGATGGGAAGGTTGGGGGGGTAATGACGTTGGTTTTTGAGGGGAAGGTGGAGAAGGTGGAGAAGCGGAAGGGACAGGGCGAGTGAGGATGCGCTGGAGGCATGAGATATGGCTAAGCGGATCTGGATAGTTGGTCCCTTTGTGGTGCAGATATAGAACCGTACAATAAATTATACACACGCGAGAATACACAAGTATACGTGGTCACTAATACTTTCCCTGAACCACGACCTGGTAGCTCTGCTCGCCTTGCGCAGGCTGGTCTTCGCCTCTTTCCTCCGTGGCCTCTACGTCCTCGTCGAACTCCTCCATTTCATACACCAGCTCATCTTCGTCCTCTTTCTCTAGTTCTTCCGCGATCGGAAGATCCCGCTTCACCTGGAATCTATTCCAATTCTTGTGCAAATCCCATCGGTGCATGGCGAAGATATTGGACAGCGCATCCCTCTCAATCACAATTCTCCCTAACTCCAGCAAGTCTTTCACATCGACCTCGTCCCACGTTAGCGTGCGCCCATGCCTCCCACTCAACAACCCAGCAAGCCTAGGCCGTGGCCCCAAAGTGACTAATAGACTCCTGCCGGCCGCATTATCCCATCCATGTGCACGGAGCATCTCGGGGACATAGTCCATAGTCGTGCCTTTAGGGACATGCATAGCATTGTCCACAATCACCAACTCGCCCTTCTTGAAGCGGTACGACAGCGCGGTTCGCCACGCCAGATCATACACCCGCCGTGGCAGATCGGTCGAAAAATCGCGACGCTTAGGGCCGAAGGCGACGCCCCCGCCGCGCAACATGGGGCTCTTTTTATCGCCCAAACGAGCCCGCCCGGAACCCTTCTGTGGCCGGATTTTTCGCGCAGAACCATGGACTTCGGACCGCCATTTTGTCGACGCTGTCCCGCGGCGGTGGTTGTCGCCTTCGAAGATGACAGCTCGGTGAAGAATGTCGCGTCGAGTGGGCAGTCTGAGGTAGTTTGCCGGGTATTCTTGGAAGCGGAGGGGTTCGAGGGATGGAAAATGGTGGATTGTTGCGTGGACGGGGGCGGTGTCGTTGATGGGGAAGCGTGGGATGGCAGTGTCGATAGAGGCGGTGATGTCGGAAACTGACGCGAGGGATGAGGTTGAAGTCGTGATCGAGCGGGTGCAGATGGCTCGCCGGAATGGCGTCACTGCTATTGCGGAAGCCATGCCTGCGGGCGTGGTGTGGGGATCTAGTTGGTATTCAGACGTCGGCGGAGTTGGCGTAGTGAAGCTTCAAAAAAAATTGTCTTGGCACACCACGGCATTTTCACGGCTACGACCAGCCCACCTTCCATCCACACTCATGGCCATGGCATCTGTCAAGTCGTCGATACGTCCTTTCAACTCATGTATACGATGCATAAGACAGGCCGCGAACACTAACTCCCTTCTCAATGGCTCCTCTATCCGACTCTTTTCGAGTTCGACCGCGACCCGTGAAGAAGCCCAGGTGCAACCTCCAGCGCAACCCAACTCCATGGAAAAATGGGGACCACTTGATCCCAACCTGGTCGACAACAAACGCGACGAACGCCGACTACTCCGACGAGATGGAATCCAGCCCATCGGGTCTCGACGACGGCGCGCTGCCCTCCAAACCTCGGCTCTAATCCCATTTGATCAACTCCCCTACCAGTGCTTCCAGGAGGCCAGGAAAATATTGTTCGAGGACCGACAGGAGAAGCTTAAGCAGATCCAGAAGCAGAAGTCGAGGCTGCAAAACTTGGTGACGCAGGATCCGGCGGTGAGCGGTGGAGTCAAGGCAAAGGAGGCGAGGATTCGGAGCATGCGGAACCATTTGAACGAATTGATCATTCTGGCCGACATCAATGACCCCATGGTGAAGAAGAAGTTTGAGGACGGAGAAGGTATGCTTGAATTCAAACGTTACACATTGGCGCCACTGATTGCTTGCAGGGGACATGAACAAGTCCATCTACCGCTACCTGGCCGACCGAAAATGGCGACAGTACAAGCGCCTTATTCTGGAGCAGCGTATCAAGCAGCTGAATATTGTCCCGGATATTCTCCCAGCTCTGGACCCCATCGCGGACGTTGATCTGGCATTCGGCCGAAGGAAAATCGCTCCCGGAGAGTTTGTGGACTCGTGCATCAGCGAAAGTATACCGAGGCTGAAAGTCCAGACGTTCGAGCCCGGAGAGAAGCTAGTCACGGTCGTAGTCGTCGACGCAGACGTGCCGGTGCCGGAGAAGGATGGCTTCACCTACCGTTGCCACTTCATCGCGAACAACATTCCTATCTCAGCCACCCAAACTTCCATCGCGCTCAACAGCCTCGACCACCAACCCAAAGACGTAAAAGAGCCTACACCATTCCATATTTCCTCGCCTTGGCTACCACCGTGGGCTCACAAAGGCGCTCCATACCACCGTTTAGCTGTCTTCGTGCTCGAACAACTCGATGCCAGAGTTTTGGACGTTACCCAGGTCGGCAAGACGAAGAGGATGGATTTCATTTTGCGAAGCTTTATCGATAAGAACAAACTGAAACCCATCGGTGTAACTCTGTTCCGGACTAGATGGGATGAACACATGGCAGCAGTGATGCAGAGAGCCGGCTTTGGCGACCAGGTGAATATCGAATTTAAGAGGAAGAGAATCGAGCCGCTGCCGTACAAGAGGCGGACTGAGAGGATGCGGTAGTCTGCTATGAGTCTGGGAGTGAAGGAGAGCAGTGTACGATTTTTTAAGCAGCATGGCGAGATGTAAGCCCTAATGTATTATAGCTCGAATCATTTTCAAAGCTTTCTGAAGCGCGACCCGCTAGCTTTCGGCATGTAAAAGGTGAGGGGAGGTGTCAAGGGGTCGGTCGTCCTTTCCTTCTGCTTTTAAGAATTCAAGACTCCGAAGCGGGAGCACCACGCCCCATCCATGAATACCACCTCTCTTCTCTTTCGCTAGGCAGTCTAGCTTCCTCTCACTTTTATGCACCGAGATGGCGCCAGATAAGGTAGCCACAACGGATGGCCTTCTCCCATCTCAGCTTCAAATCGCTTTCGCCGTTGCCATTGTACGACGCAAGCCCGATACGATTACAGTGAAAGGTAATTCCTGAACTTTCTAGGGAATGACTACGGTTAATGTTGACACAAGAAAGACTATATGGTCCAGCTGCGACATCATCTGAGCCAAGGCAAACAGCGCATTACTTCTAGAGATAGCCATCGTCATTTCAACAGCGTTTCTTACTGGAAGGAGCAATTTGAGAGGGTCCAGCAGAGTTGTCAGCAACTCCAACAGCGCAATGTCCAGCTGGAGAGAGCAAACGACCATCTACAAAATCTTGCCATTCAACCCGAGGGCAAAGTTACTCCAACCGCCAAGCGCAAGAGGAGGGGGGGGAAACAGGCGCCATCGAAACGCGGAAGGCCTTCACTAACTGCCTCAGATCATCCGACCCTAGGACAGGAAGGTACCTTCTCTAATGACCTAGATCTGCTTGAAAGCGTGGGAGAGGGTAGGCGGACGTCGCGTTTCTGCTGCATCGCTAACGTTTTCAAGCGGGGAACACTCTCAGTCGCAGCCTCTACAATGTTCACAAGTTATGCAGACACCAGAATCCAGACTGTGAAGCCATTTGTTCAAATCTCGTTCAGACTTCTCGGGCCATCGGTGCAGTCATCACCACAGTTTCCACACAGCAAAACCAACTTACCCACACCAACAAGAGAATCCAAGCTCCCTTGGAGAAAGACAAATTGGAGCTCTCTTGCATCATTCGAGGATCGGCAAGAGCCTTTACGTCCATTCTCGTCGGCCTCGAGAAAATAGTGGAGAATACCTTTGGACATCGATTTTGCAATATCGTCATCTATGAAACTGTTAAGATGTTCAAGACGGTACTCGATAGCATGACAAGATCAGCACGCTCAACTGCTGCCACACGTTTGGCATCTGAGAGGAACAGAAGTAGTAGCCCTGCAAAGCCCCCCAGTTCTGGGAAAGAAGGCGTACAGTCTCGCAACCTCGCCCAGTTTCTTAATGCTATTGTAGCGTACCTTGATAAAAATAACCCAGTTCACCGCGAAATATTCGAAGGTTTCCTCTTTGTCCTCCTTGACCGAGTTAGTAGCTGCCTCCACTACTGTATGTTTGGGTATGATCGCACTTTCAGAGCTCATGAGGAGAACATATTGGATCCGGACACAATCCAGAAGAAACAAGAGGAAGATTTGGCAGCTCGGCTTGAAATACCATCACTAGTCATCATTTTCGAACGAGCCATCACGTTGGCGCCCAACTACCTGGATTCACGGCCTTCTTCGTCCTCCTCGAAATCCCAAAAGTCTAAGCTAGGCGGTATAGCACGATCTTTAACTTACACACCCGCCCGCAAGATACCTCTTAGTGTCCGTGCCAAAGAACGGCTTCAACGCACGCTTATCCAATGTATATGGTCCGAAAAGGATGACGATGAGCTTGCAGACGTGCTACGGATGCCTACACGGCTAGGGGGACTACCAGACGTACCCAAGCTTGGAGACCGCGATGTGACAGATTGGTTCAAGGGTGAAGTGTTCAGGTTGGTGGGATGGGATATCCTGACAAGGGAGCGCGTTGTTTGATGCGTATGTGGAGGAGGTAATATGTTGGACGTAATGTTCGCGGTGCAAGTGGAAGTATGGATGTTCAAACTGAAGGGCTTGGGGTGTATATGATAGAAATTGAGATACAACCATATATTGATGCCGATTAGATTACTTTGTAGCACAGGTGGCATGCAGATTGGGCATAGTGATTGGCCTGTCAGCTTTTATCGTCCATCTGTTATAACGTGGTCCACCATCGAACCCGCCAAATCATTGAACCCGACAAGATCTCTTAGCATTGCGAACACCACGTGCAAGACGCGATGTGTAAACAACGTAAAACTATACTAACTTAGCAAGAAGGCAGAATTATTCTTATGATCTAGTTCTACTGCTTACGCTAATTTAAACACATATAATAAGCTATAGTAGTGTAACAATTCTTATGAATCGTTCCATCTCTGGTCGCTCAGAACCTATCCAAAGGGTCCCTGTATTAGACCTAACGCTAACTTAACCTTGTCCCCTATAGTTACTTCTATTCCCCTAAGTATTTAGTTGCACCTCTCCCCTTAGCTAGCTTAGTAGTTTTCTAATATCCTTTTATATAAGGCCTATAGGTATTAATAGAATTCCTAGGTTATTAAGTCTCTACGCACTTCTATATGCCTCTAAGTAGATTTTTACTGCATTTAGACCTATTATCTTGCCTGCAATATTATATTATATTAAAAAACTTACTTTTACTAGTAATAGTTTTATTAATAATATTATAGTATTTATTTATTTAATAATGTTTAAGTTTAAAAAGTGTTTAATTTAGTTTAAGTTATAATTTTTACATACTATAATATTAAATTATTTAGTTACTATAAATAAAAATTTAAAAACTTTTTATTAACTAAAGCTTTTAAGTTTAAAACTTTTTATTTTTTATAATTAAAATTACTTTTAAAAAAGTTATAAAAAGTGTGCTAAAGTAAAAACTTAAAAACTACTAATAACTTCTTAAAATTAAAAATAACTACTAATACTTAACTTTTAACTACTTTTAGACTTTAGTATAAAGTTTATAATACACTTTAGCTATAGCTAAGATAAAATGCTTACTACTAAAGCTAAATAACTTCTAACTTTAATAGCTAAACTTTTTTTATAAAACTTAATGCTAAAAACTTACTAAATTTAAAGTTAAACTATAGTAATAACATACTTTACAGGCAAGTTGCTTACACACTTAAGTTACTTACTTTTACGAAGACTTTACTAAACTACTTTTTTTACACTAATATATTTCTAATAACACTACTTAAATGTGCTAAAAGAATATTAGATATAGCTTACACTCTAAGCATTTAAATAAAATATAAAACTTTTAAAGAAACATGCTATAGCTATATATAAAGTTTTTTAAAAAAAATAATAAATAACTATAGCACTAGACAACTTTTATAAGCTAATTTTATAGCTAACTTATAAAGGCTAAGTAATAATAAAAAGTAAGTAATTATTAAAACTATACTTAAGCTATATACATAAAAAAATTTTCTTTAGATAGTATTTATAGCTAATATAGCTAATTCTTTACACGCTAAGTATAATGTAGGCTATATTAGCATAAACTAGCTTAGTATGTTTAGAAAGTGTTATTTAAAGCTTAAAGTAATATTTAAGTGTAGTATAACTATAAAAAAGCTTTTTATAAAAAGTCTAAAGTAATTTAAAGTAAGTTTAGCCTTATAAAAAATATTAAAGCTAAGTATAGTATCTAGAATAATAATATATATAACTTTAGTAAAATAGGCTTTATTATAAGCTAAATATTTATTAATTATACTTATGCTTAAAAGTTTACTTTAAGCTTTAAATAATGTTTTATAAACATACTAGGCTAGTTTATACTAACATAGCTTAAATTATGCTTAGCATGTAAAGAATTAGCTATATTAGCTATAAATGCTATCTAAAAAGAAAATCCTTGCGCATATAGCTTAAGTATAGCCTTAATAATTACTTACTTTTTATTATTACTTAGCCTTTATAAGTTAGCTATAGAATTAGCTTATAAAAGTTATCTAGTGCTATAGTTATTTATTATCTTTTATAAAACTTTATATATAGCTGTAGCATGTTTCTTTAAGAGTTTTATATTTTATTTAAAAGCTTAAAGTGTAAGCTATATTTAATATTCTTTTAGTACATTTAAGCAGTGTTGTTAGAAATGCATTAGTGTAGAAAAAGTAGTTTAGTAGAGTCTTAGTAAAAGTAAGTAACTTAGGTGTGTAAGCAACTTACCTGTAAAGTATGTTATAGCTTTTAAAAACTAAGTTACTTAATTAAAAGCGTAAATTAAGTAGCTAACTAAATTAAAAACTATTAGTCTTAATTAACTTTTACTAACTACTAGATTACTTTTAATAATGCTTAAAATTACTTTTACTATACTAATAGTAAAAGACTTTTTAAGCACTTTTAGACACTTTTAAAGCTACTTTACTAAATACAAACTTAAAATTAAAAATCTTATAAATAGTAAAAAACTTATAACGTACCTAACAGGTTAGCCGGCTACACGGGTTAGCTAGCCACTTTTGCTAAGTTTGCTAAGCCCCTACTAAAACCACCTTATTCTCTCGCAAAACAGCCTACTTTAGCCCTATATAAAGTAATACAACACAAGATATTATTTAAAGTCTACTTTTACTACTTACTTACATGTACGCAAGTTATGCCTAGTCTAATTACACTACCTACATTGCCTTTAACTTAGCTTACTTTTTTTAGCGCACACTTATGTTTTTAGCTTTTTCCTATTACTACGCGCTCTAAACTTCTTTAAAGCAGTTAGACAAGCCTTATTCTTAACTATTAAGGTCTTTTCTGCTTAAATCTACTTTCTTTTATATAATCTATGTTACATAGCAGCTTTATTTGCTGCTTAAAGCTTTATAATTTTATAGCCTACTTTATTATGTTAATGCTTTAGATAACTATTATCTACTTTTTATTACTTTACTATATTACCTTTAGCTATTTTTGTCTCTCTAAAGCTGTAATAACTGCTCTAGTTAATATCTAGCCTATTATAAAGTCTAATTTATTAAAGTTATACTTGTCTTTATTCTAGATACTATACTTAGCTTTTATGTTAGCTACTAGGTAAAACTAGCCCTAGATAACCTCTAGATCTTTATAAAGCGCTCTTTTATAATTATACTTATAATTAAACTTTATTATAAACTTAAAGCAGTGCTTAACTTACATACTAGTCTAGTTTAAGCTAACCTAGCCTAGATTACACTCTGTAGGTAAAAAATTAGCTATATTAGCTATAGCTATAAGCCTAAAGGGAAATCTGTGTGTTATAAGCTTAAGTATATACTTAATAACTACTTTTTTTTAAGCTTAGTTAGATTTCTTAATTTAGGCTAGCATTCTGCTTATAAAGGCTGTCTAGCGCGTTAATTACTTAGTGTTATGTAAGAGACATTATAGATAGCTGCAGCGTGTTGTAAGAAGAGTTTTAAGTCTTATTTAAAAGCCTAAAGAGTAAGCTGTATCTAACGTTATTTAGAAGATTTAATCTAGTGTTGTTGTTAAGGCATTATGTAGATAGGTAGAGTTTAGTAGGGGCTTGGCAAAAGTGGCCGGCCAACCCGTTAGGTACGTTATTTATATAATAAAAAGCTTTTATTATAAATAAACTATAAGAACAAGGCTTTGCACTACTCTGCTAATACAACTAAAAGGTATGAATAATTAACTAACATTTAATTTTTAGGTGCAGAATAGTATATATACCTGTTGCACGTAAGCGCCATCTTAGCCTTACATTATCCCCCTTCTTAGCAGACGCATGTCCCAGGCGTCACATGACCTACCCGCAGCTTAGAGGCGCTATGCGCATGACTTAGTTACTAGCTAGAGGCTAACTACCTGTGGACTAGAGGCGCAGGATAAATAACAACATAACGCTTAGTAGCTTACACTAGCTAAGCTATATACACTAGACCTTCTAGCAGCAACAACGTAGCGCTAGAAAAGGCTGCCTTACGTTTTAGTCTAAAAACTAGCTTAAAGCTAACTAAGGTAGAGGTTAAACACTAACTATACCCTACTATTAGTTAATTATTATGTAAGAACAGAGCTCTGCACTACTCTGCTAATATAACTAAAAGGTATAAATAATTAAGTAACAGTTAATTTTTAGGTGCAGAATAGTATATATATCTGTTGTATGTAAGCGCTATCTTAGCCTTACATAAACGTAACATTAATTTAAATTACTATTAAAGTAAGCGCACATGCATAGCGTTAGTATAGAGACACACTGCTAGTATTGTAAAGAATTACCTAGAGCCTAGATACCTAGCTAAATTAGATAACTTTTAGTTTAAAAATATAAAAATAATAATTAAGCTTTTATAAACTTACTTTATTACTAATAATAAAAAGTAAAAGTGTAATAAGTGTTTTAAACTTTATAAAAATAAATTATAAAATAGTGTTTTTTACTTTTAAAGCTTACTTTATTAGTGCTATAATTAAAAAGTTTATATTAAAAATAAAATAGTTTTTTTACTTATAAAAAAATACTACTTAGCTTAAAAGTATTAAACTTAAGTTTTAAATACACTTAAAAAAGCTTTTTTAAAACTATAGTGTTACAACCTACAATTAGACTGTAAGCAACTAATTAGCAGTACCCTACAGTTTGAACAATTAAGGATGGAAAGTCCTTAACCCTGTCCTAGACAAATCACATAACAAGACAGATAAGGAATAGCTTTAGTTATTAGACAGATGCATAAAAAAATGCATTGTCTAATAAGAAAGAATAGTTTACATGCACAGGCATGCAGCTAAATGCATACTAACAAGTCTTAGTATAAGCATGCAACAACATGCAGTTGCATGCTATTAGATGTATATAGTTTTAATTATAACTATAGTTAGAAGGCTATAATTACTGTTCAGTCTTTACACACATAATAAACTAAAAAGCATTAATACCTTTATAAAAAGAACATTGCTGC